AAGACAAATGTGAACCACTGAACTTGACTGCTGGGAACTGAACTTGGGTCCTCTGTCAGAACATCAGTGTTCTTAACCACTGAGCAGTCTCTTCAGCCCGTCCCCCACACACATCCTTTTGAGACACGCTCTCCCTACATACTCCTGGCTATCCTGCAACTCACTATGTAGACTAGACTGGCCTTGGAGTGACAAAGATCTGCCTGCCTCTGCCTTTTTAGTTCTGGGATTACAGTGTGCACCCGCATGCCTGATTTTTTCCCACTTTTACTTTATTATTAGTTTGCTTTGATTTAAGACAAGATCTCACTAGATAGCCCAGTAGCCTGGGCTGGCCTTGAGCTTGCTTCAATCCTTCTGTGTCCCTCAGCCTTCTGAGTGTTGGCATGACAGGAATCTGCTGTTTGGTCCAGCTGCTATGTTCTTCCCATTCCCTTAGTCAAGTCTGAACCCGGGGCTTTATGCACACCGAGCTGTATCCTTACCCCAAGCATGTGTTTATATTTCCTATGGTTTTCACTTCCAGGCAGACCTATTCTCTGAAGGTCTTACTGCCCCTCAGTGCTGTCACCCTGAGGCCTTTAATCCACATTCTTTGGGAGACACTCATCTAAACCCCCGTTCCCAGGAACTCTGTAAAATAGTCGTGTGGCCCTGTCCTCAGAGATTCCACCACCCGTGTTTACTAAGCACTGGCTTTGATGGAAGGCTCCACTCTTAGCACAGAAGCCACAGCTCAGTGACACTGCCACTGTCCTCAAAGAACTCCACACTCTACTGGGAATAGGTATTTAAGGAACAGAGTAATTAATGTTTCAAGAAACGTTTGCTAAGAGGCTACCTCTTGTCTGTGGAAAAGGGTTTTTTAATTTGATTTTTTTTTTAAATGACTAGACTAGAAATTTTGGCTCCCCAGCCTCCCTTGTTACAGATGAGTCACGGACCAGTTCTCCTGTGATGGAAGATGTTGGTGGTTTTGCAAACCTGAAGGTCCTGGCCTTTGGATATCCCTTCCAGCTACTGCCAAGCATTGCTAACCAGCCAGGTGTGGTGGGTGTACAACAGCATGTCTGCAATCCCAGCACTGGAGAGCCTGAGGCAGGAGGCTTGTGAGTTCAGGGCCAGCCTGGAAAAGTTAGTGAGACAGTATCTCTGAGAAGAAAAGGAAGGAAAGAACTGCTAAACTGGGCTGGGCCGTGGTGGTGCACGCCTTTAATCCCAGCACTTGGGAGGCAGAGGCAGGTGGATTTCTGAGTTCGAGGCCAGCCTGGTCTACAGCGTGAGTTCCAGGACAGCCAGGGCTATACAGAGAAACCCTGTCTCGAAAAAAAAAACCAAAAACCAAAAAACAACTGCTAAGCTGTTTCCAATCCTGTGTTTGATGCCGATTAAAGAAGGATTAGGGTGAGTTAGTAAAAGGACCTCCACGGAGCCTAGGAAAGTATAGGAGTAGTTTCAGCTGTGCTGAGGCCTCTGAACTTCAGCAAGAAAGAGAACAAACTGTTTCCAGTTTATTTCTTTAAGCTAGGGCACTGAAGGGAGGCGAGGAGAGAAGTGGGTGGCACAGACAGAGCCAAGCAAGGTTCCTCTCAAAGGCCTGTGGGTGGTCAGACGAGGACATGCTCTTCAGGCGGCTCACTTCAGAAGTCCTTGGGTGGACCCCAAGGACCTAGGCTCAGTCAGGGCACATCTGCTGGCCTGAGAAAGGGACGAATTACCCATTAGTCCCCCTGGCACCTAGCCAGAGCCGTCCAAACTTCTTGAAGGGACCTGTATTTAAGGATCATTTTCTGTGTGCCTGTGCACAGACGGGGAAACTGAGGCTCAGCAAGGTCCCACAATGGGCTTAGCATGCACGCACACGTTTATGGACTAAGATTTCAACAGAACCGTTGTTACAACTTCCAACCCCGATAAGGAAGAGTGGAACCAGGGGACAGAGAGCATAGTGGGTGCTGGTCCAGGGATGGGGTGAAACGAGGGGACAAGTAGGGTGCTTCGAAGGGGAGTCTGGGTCTTCTGGGTGAGCAGTCTCACCCTGGGAGAACAGGGCAGGGTGGTATGTGGTGACCTTGGATGGCGGATCAACCTTTAGGCCAGAACATCTTGGTATGGCTTTGAACATGAGACAAAGCTACCTGTCAGGTTGTTTGTTGTATTGAGCCTCAGATAGGGGATGAGACATAATATTTCTCATGTAGGGGTGCATCCAGGACTGTGCAAGGCAGTTCTCTGCACTATGGAGAAACACATTGGAATTTTTATAGTTTCAAAATAATGCTTTAAGTTCTGTGTATATGTGAATTACTTCTAAACACACAGAAGTCAGTTCAGTAGTTCAGCTACAATAATTCATAAGAAAATCACCCCTTTCCTATTTATTTATTTTTAAAGATTTAAAAAATTTTATGTATATGAATGTTTTGCCTAATGTAATTCTGTACGCCATACATACTGAAAGAGGACAGCGGATCCCATAGAACTACAGTTATAGACAGGTACTGGGAATTGAACTCAGGACCTCTGGAAGAGCAGCCAGTACTCTTAACCACTGAGCCATCTCTCCAGCCCTTTCTCTTTCTCTCTCTCTCTCTCTTTCTCTCTCTTTTCTTTTTTTTTTTTTTTTTTGAGGCAGGGTTTCTCTGTATAGCCCTGGCTGTCCTGGAACTCACTCTGTAGACCAGGCTAGCCTCGAACTCAGAAATCCGCCTGCCTCTGCATCCCAAGTGCTGGAATTAAAGGTGTGTGCCACCACCGCCTGGCTTTTTCTTTCTTTTTACACTGATGTCTCCAAACTTCTTTTTCCAGAGTGGTATAGCAAGTAGAAAAGTTTTCAGAACAAGCTTTGGGGAGTTGCCGGTGTGTGTGTGTGTGTATGTGTGTGCTCGCGTGTGCGCACACGTGCGTGTTCATGAGTGTGGTTAAATAGATTGGGCTCCTGCTGGCCATCACTGGGGTGATGGCTTATGGCTTAGGGTCTTGGTTTTGTTGCTGTTGTTTTTTTCTTTTTGTCTTGATTCTCAACACTGCAGTCTGAACATCCACCACAGGAAAAAAAAAGTGTTGAAGGAAAGCCCTGCCTGCACCCTTGTGGCCTCTGAGAAAGACAGGTGTAATACAGACCAACATCAGGAGCAAGCATTCCTCCCAGGGGCACTGCAACCCCTAGGCGTACAGGGAGAAGAAGCTCAGCAGCCTCCGGAGACCTAAGCTCGGTGGGGAAGGCTCTGTGCTCAGCATCGAGCAATGTGCCTTGGGGCATATCTTGTTAAGACATTTAACCACACCACTAGAATAGCATTTCTTCATCCCTGTGATACATCTCTCCCCAACCTTCACCCCAGGATGTTAGGTGCTTGGCTATTTCAGTGTCACAGAATCTGGTACTTCATCTTGAACAAACAAGAGCATAGTAGTTTTTATTGATAAATGTTTCCGTCCACTAATTTCACAGGACTATTGTAGGAAACTATCACTCAAATGTAAGGTGTGTGTGCTTATGTGGGGGGTCAGACTGTAAGAATAGTGAGTCAGACTACACTAGGGAGATTAGAACTCGAATCCCACCGTGTCCTTGGGATCCTGGATAGGATAAGTTTGCTGTGAATTGCTATGAGGGATAATATTTGCTTGTTTGAGAAGTAATTAATAGTTTTGGGAGGAATCAATATTTCTCTCCCCCTCCCAACTAAGTGCAAACAGATTCCCTAAGCAGAGGTGACTAGGTAAGATCTGACAGAGTCTTCACAATGGGAAGGAGACCTCTTGCCCTGAGTTTAACTAGGAGGATCTAGTTGGGAAGCCTTTTTTTTTTTTCTTCAGACAGAAGCCTGTAGTTCTAACCACCACCATCTGGGGTCGCTAAAACTTTCTCTTCTCTCAGGAATAAGCGGGGTCCGCTACTTAACAGCTTTTAGCATTTTGACCCATCGCTGGCTTTTCCCTACACCTATTCCCAACTACGACCCTTTGCAAACAAAGTCAGCTGGGAACACATCTAGAGATGAATTCTCAAGTTAATTTACTTTCGAGATTTCCAAGCAAGTTTCCAGAATGCAATACATTTCTGATCTTAGGAGCCCAGTTATCAAGAAAGATATAAATGCCCCGCTCCCCATAGAGCGCATATTCCATAGGGCAGCGGAGGGGTTGGGGGAGCACCCAAGTCAGGGAAGGCCCCGGCTTGCACAGACTGAATGAAGGCAGTTTTCCACACCGCAGCCACCAATAGTCTGAGGCTGTGCAGTATCTTTTACTAGCAGGTCTGGGAGGAGCCAAAGGCTGAGCAAGGCGGGCTAGCGGGTTTAACCCTTTGCTTTCTTTGTCTTGCTGACAGAGATAGAACCAAGGGCCTCCTGCACGTTCTAAACACCAAAGGAACCAGATGCCACCGCCACTACTTACTTGTTGAAATGGAATTTATAAGGGAGAGAATTTCTTTCTGCCCTTATGCCATGGTCAGAGGCAAGGATCAACTTCCTGCGTCCAGGCTAAAATTAGGATCTTGGTCCCTTTCATGAAAAACCACAGTTCCGCTCTCTTAACATTTCTGTTTTTCTTCATATTTTCTTGGAAGCAGGTACTTGCCGTCTGAATGTATAACGCCACCCCCAGGCTGAACCCCTACGAGAGTTAGGGTCCTGATGTCCCATTGCTTTTCCAAACTGTGTTAGGAAAAGACAGACGAAGCGTGCATGGGACTGGAACGCAGGACGAAGCGGTCCCGTTAAGGGGGTGATCCCGTCAGGCTCAGTTTTTTCCCCCTTTCTTTTATTTAAACATCATCGCCCTTTTAAAGAATTCCCAGGCGCCAAGTAACACACGTTGGTCCTTCTCAGAGTTGGGGGGCCGTGGGCTTTGCGGTGCCAGCTAACCACCACCTCCCCGCCCACCTGCCTGCTGTTGGGAGATTACTTTACAGTGGACAGTAGGTTGTCGCGTCCCTTCCGTGTCCCAGCCCTTGCCTTTCTGTCTCCGCCCCTTCGCTCCTAGGAGGCCTTGCCGCTTTAAGAGCGCGGCTTGCGATTGACAAGCAATAACCGCGGAGCGCCGGGTTGCGCGGAATCGCCCCAAGCTAGGGGCTCCCCAAAACGCAGGTAGGTATTCCCAGGCCCCTGGGCCAGCACCCACCTCAGAACCTTTGCCTTCTTTTCGACCTAGCACCGCACTTGGGGATCCTATCCTCCAGGTCCAAACTCCCGGGCCCCTTCCCCAAGTCGCCCCCTCCCTCTCCAGCTGCAGCACTCGGCTCTCTGTGTATGATGCCGGTGGGGAGAACCGAACCCCTCATCCCAGGGATGCTGGTTCCTATGCCAGTGATGAGGGCTCCAGAGGGACACCGGACACAGAGATGCTGAGCTGAGCGGAGCACAGGTATTTGCGCGGCCTCTCCAGGGTCTGTGTTGGGGGGGGGGGGGACTTCGGATCCCGGCATTACGTAAGAGTCGTGCTGCTGGCGCTTCCGGCCCTGGGGGAGCTAGACTGAGATTGTACTGGGTCCCTTGGCACCCTGCACCCCAAGAGGCCAACACCTCAGTCTTTCCTGAGAGAAGGTCTTGGAGAGAGGCGTTCTGCTAACCTAGAGGACAGGAGGTTGCAGGGTCTCGGAGCCAGGGTTTAAGGCATGGGGGTTCCAGAAGGAATCAGCGCCAGAAGCAAGGAGCCAGGGTCAGAAAGTTAGGTCAACTAAGGGGGTAGTGGGGAATGAAGACGGGGGGGGGGGGGGTAATCATTCAGTGACCTCATCCCTTAGTCTCGGCGGGCGCGCAAGCAAAGAGCCTTCTTTGATGGCTCGCAACACGCCCCCTCCTTCCTAGGTCCTAGCGCCCAGCGGGTTAGGGCTGAATTGGAGGGGCGGGGGCAGTCTGATTGTGAGTGCGGGCACGTCCGCCGGCTCCCTAGACCCCATCCTCCAGCCCTCAGTAATGTACAGTCCTTCCCATAACCTGTCCGGCTCCAAAGTGCCTTTGTCAGGCGTTCCTCTTTCGCACCTCTCTGAGTCTGCACCGATGGAGGGGGGTGGGTGGGAGGTTGGAGGAAACCTCTCCCTTTGAAGCTGGCGGGCTTCACCTACACACCCGGGAGATGGGGGTTGGATAGCTTGGTGGCGGATGTGCGTGTGGAGGTGTGAGTGGGAGGGCCTTAGGTTTAGGCTTTTGGACACGGTGATGCTGGTTCCGTGATGACTGGGCCCGGGGACCTTGGCACGGAACCAGGCTAGCTTGCCTGGCACTGCCGTTCTCCTGTGGGCACAGGCGGCCCCGCCCTCTCAGAGGCTTGGATGGGGGTGGGGCAGAGCGAGCCGACGCCGTGGGAACCAACTCCTCAGGGAGCAAACCCAGGCTCACTGGGCAGGACTCCTGGGCCTAGGGTTTCATACAGGATCCTCCCTGGCTCTTCCCTGGTTTTTCCTGATCCAGGAAAAGAGGAACCCACAGCAAACACCTCTAGTAGGGAGCATGGCCCAAGGCCCGAGAAGCTGCCCCCTGCTCTCTAGGAATAAGGACAGGAGAGTTGGCAGAGGGGACGCTGGCTGGCACAGTGGAACCTGGACATTTCTCTTAACCATTGATGCTCTCTCTGCAAGTTCGATTCTTCTGGAAAATGTCCAGGAGGAAAGAGAACCGTTCACATCACCTTTGTCATTTGGTTTCCAGAGCTGTCATTATCTTAGGCCAGAGAGAGAGAGAGAGAGAGAGAGAGAGAGAGAGAGAGAGAGAGAGAGAGAGAGAGAGAGAGAGAGAGAATTTTTATTAAAACCAGTAGTTGCTTCGAGAATTATTTTGGATTGGAGAGGGGAAAGGCTGGGAGGATGGAGCAGCCCCGTGGCTCCCCTTCTTCCAAGGGGGGGGAATGCAAAAGGCATTTAGTCTTAAAGTGGGCACTGCCAGCTGCTTTACCGTACTCCCCCACCCTTGCTGAGAGCCACTGCCTCCTGTTGTCATGGCAACTGGGGAATTAGGGGTTTATCCAGTAGCACATGCCCAGGAAGGCAAGGGGAGAAAGTGGTGGGTCACCCTGTTCTCCTTTCCAGGGAGGATGAAGGAGCCAATCTCAGTTTGGAAGACCCTGAGATGGGCATCAGGGCTGCAAACTCGATCCCTGTTTCTGGCTACTGCTCTCCACTCTCCCTGTCCTAACTCTAGGATAGAGGGAGAGGGTGAGGGAGAGGGAAAGGGTGAGGGAAAGGGTGAGGGAGAAGAAGAGGGAGGGGGAGGGGGAGGGGGAGAGGGAGGGAGGGAGAGAGAGAGAGAGA